TTTCAGTCGCCATTTTATCTTCTCCATGTCAGTCACCTTGTATGACTTTTAAGTATAGTTAAAGCAGATATACTCCAGAAATTTAACTTGAATAGCACCTACAACACATATTCGATACTAGACTTGATGTTTGAACCTTATTTAAAAACCAAGTGCGAGGTCTTCCATTGAAATTCAAGACCGAGGGCCGTCTTGAATTTCAATGGAAGACCTCGCACTTGGTTTTTAACCTATATCAATTACTTGTTGAAGAGTAACTAGACGCTCTTGGAGCGCGAAGTCGGACTAGCTGCTTTTGAAACTAATTGAGAAAGACAGGATAATAAAAATATAAAAATTAGAATAAAATATATATCTCTTAATWTTTCTCCAAAATAGCCGAACTCACGGTCTAATATGAGCGTCTAGTTCAAAATATCCGAACTCTCTTGARGCTTTAAATAAACTTGACCTAAAAGGTCATGTAATTGAATTTAATTAACACCGCTATGAACGTTTTAAAAGAGTCCTTGCTTTTACTGATAAAATCAAACGTAGACAACATGTCGCTAAGTGATATCATGAAATCTAATACATTGACCTCTCAGGCCAAGAAAATAAATACTTTACAAAGTAAATCATACCTATAAAATCATTAAAGKCGCCTTTTTGTTATTGATAAAYAAAGTGTTTTCTTGTTCTAATTTGAAATCTTTGCCCACACAAGACTCCCTAACGCTAGAATGGTCATTGATTTAGTTACGTAAGCATACTACTCGAAGCACCATGCATGCGAACTGCACATGCGCGTACTTATGATGCCTATACTGATGCATTTCGATGAGATCACATATATCACATTTGTAAACGAATAGTTTTTTTATCATATAAAAGCGCAAGTAGAATATAACATTTACTAACAATATTCGTACATCTATACGATTGAGCTTCCTGTCATATAATAACACAGTCAACCCAATAATAAATAATTAAATTCTTAACGTCCGGTGGTCCAAACGCGACATGACACATAGATAGATTGACTAAAAGGTAAAACTCAAGTCGACCTAGCCTTCGGCTAGTCCGACTATAAAACGTATTTCCTGGACGTAAATTAATATAAACATCTTGACCGAGAACGAGCTGCGAGACAGTGCTCAGACCAAGGTAGCTCAAGCGTATCGTGCATGCGCAATGAAATGGCCCCTTGTTAGATATATCAAAAGAAAAACGGCACAATATTTTTTTTTACCTCAAATTTGCATCCATAAGTGGCATAGGAGCAGGGCACAGTTGTCTKTGAACATGTTCTTTCGTGATTCTAGAACAAAGAGAAGTACACAAATCGTSATGGCTATCTTACTTTCGTGAAATTAGTAATAAAGAGCAATACTCTATTGGGAAAGGCACAATATTACTTATRATAGAGAAAATATCCGCACATAACCTTTTTTGAAAGGTTGGCAARCAAATCTCTTGTTTAATGGGGTAGATTTTTGTGATTAGACTTAATAGGTTTTTATTTCGGCTTTTAATTCCTATGAAAGGGATATGTTATTATTTCTTATCAAAAGAAGTGCGGTTGTTTACTTGTATTTAGACCACAATTTGGTATAAGTCTTTATCATAGTCCACATCGCAACCCGCGGAAAGCCTTGTGGCGCAATGCATTTTGGGACTGATAAATGAGTAAACAAGGGACCAACGATGTCAGTGCTCCAGTTTTCTGTAACGAAGACCTATAGTGTTCGAAAAATATTAGGAAATATTGATATTGTAGTTTATCTCAGAAGCGAAAGAAAAACAAACAAATATCCACATGAAATAGGAAATACAGTAAGAAAAATTTCCAAAAAATGTACAGTTAATCGATAATTTTTTTGCAATTCAAGTAAAAGTGAAAACAAACATTTTTTGTCTTTGGAAAAATCGAAACCCTAATAAGTGTTTTTACGATTTTAGCGATTTGTTTTGATGAAGAAAGGGAGATTTATATCCCATGATACATTGCAAACCGACTCAAAATGGCGGGCTTGTGATATGTACTATGGTAATATGCCACAATTCTTAGATTTGAAAAATGGATTTTAACACCACAGACGTTTTTTTAACTGTTTTCATAATAACAAGTTTAGATCTTGAAATAAAGTTAATCAAAAAGACAAACGCAACTAGATTCATTTTTGCGACGTTTCGACATCCTCTGATGCCATTCTCAAGCAATATTGCTTGAGAATGGCATCAGAGGATGTCGAAACGTCGCAAAAAATGAATCTAGTTGCGTTTATCGTTTTGATTAATTTCATAATAACACAAGCAGAATTCTTAATACAAAGAAAATGCAACCATGGCCGTTTTTTAATATACCTTAACATCTTTTAGTTGACCCTGCCATTTACAGCCCTGGTTATGGCATTTTATGTTGAGGGAAAGGATTTTTCTCTCTGTTGCTACATCATCAAATACCTATCGAATTAAAAGACATAATTATTCACTCAGGCACAAAGTGAAGAGTTTTAAACGACCAATCACATGAACTTACTTGTTTAAAAGTGAGATTATTCTTGTCCAGCGGACACTCTCGTTTTCTGAAAAAATAATCGTTATTTATAAATTCTATGCTATCATGTCATATTGAACCTATTGAAGATTGTCACTCGCTGTTTTGAAGCTTTGATGGAACTTGTACGAAGTACACAAACACGCGCATATTAATTAGGAGGAACGCAAGGCTTCGAATAATGAACTAGAGGGGAGGGGTGTGTAAATGTAATTATTGTTATCTTGACTCGGTTACAAATCTTTAAGCGTTTTTTAATCATATTCATTTATTTTGATTGTGATTAGCCTTATTATTCATCGAATGAAAAGATTGGTTTTAAACAAACATACTGCTGGATCTTTAACGCAAATTCTTTGTTTCAAATTGTCCCTACCTAACCCCCCTCTCAAGAAACACTAGCTTGATAAGTCCAAATTACTAATAACTTTTATAATTAAGTTTTGCTTCTAATGATAAACAGCTGTAAATATACTTTTTTTCCGTTATTCTTGTGTGCTTGGCGCGAATCGATTACTGCTGATAACTTCCAACAGGTGAATAGCCACACTGTTCTTCTTGTAAAGTAGTACATCTGGGAAATTAAT